TGACTTATCATGAGAACAAACGTATTCACGCGTGACTTTAATAACATTTCTTACTTAATGGAAACACTGCTAGTGACGATTGTTAATCTGAAATATTCACAGCTTTAGTTTGATCAACAACACCAGCTGATTGGCTGCCAACATGAACTGGTCTTGCTGTAAAGTGTCTGACAGTAAATCTGCTTGACTGAACCATCTAACCAAAGCCTTTGGTCTTCAGTGTAAGAGGATTTCAGCCAAAGATGCCCTGGCTCACCCGTACCTGGATGAAGGCCGACTGCGCTACCACACGTGCATGTGTAAATGCTGCTACAGCACGTCGTCTGGTCGGGTTTACACCAGCCACTTTGAGCCGCTCACTAACTCCAAGTTTGATGACGGCTTTGAGAAGAACCTGAGCTCCATCAGGCAGATCAAAGGTCAGCTTTACTCTGGTTTTTCAGTTCTAAACCAGGGCACTACCTGTTTGTCTTTCCAAGCACTGTCTGGTGCTGCCTCATCAGCAGGTCCTCACTGGACCAGAAGAAATAAAACCTGCTTTCATCAGGAGCTGGAGGCAGTGCTATGGGGACTACTGAGCAACTGTCACAAGTTTCCTGTTTAATGCTGGGACTTAGYTTGGTCATTTGTCTTAAAACCAGTTAGAAGTAGCTCTGGCACTAGCCCTGGTTTGGAACTGGATGCCTTTTTTAATATTTTTTCTTATTTACATATAAATGCCACTCACCAGCTAAATCTATCTTATTTAAATGAAGTAGTAATAAAATGATCTGAATGCATCTGAAATCTTTCACTTATCAGGTTYAGTTTATTGTATGATTGATATAAACTATACACCATAACATTATGACCACATTATAATCTGGTAACCAGGGGTATACGACACAGCAAGTAAAACTAATCTAGTCTTTATTCCTATAGCTTTGCCTGACATAGACTGAAACTTAGCTTAAGTCAGGCTTTATTGTGAATTTCACTTAGATATGACATTTTCTACAGGCTGTCTGCTTCACTTTGTGTGTTTTTTCACATGAAAAGGGGCGTTCTTCACAACATTAAAAAATTAATAAATATATTAAAAATAATAAAAACAACTCTGTTGCATCAAGACTTTAAATATAAAGAACAGCAGTTTGTATTAAATGAAATATGAAGAAAATCATTACAGGGAAAAACTGTTGGAACATTTTGAGTAATGTAGCAGAAAATAAAAATGGGAGGTCATAAAACATGCTGGTGTTTAGGTTCAAGACAGGAATAAATAATGGATTAGTTATTCATTTAGATATTTACTTCATAATATTTTATTTATTTATTTAAATACGAGCACTTTTCAAGAATGAGTTTCTTGATTGCTGGATCAAGAGACTGAAGAGTGACTTTTAGCCAAGATTCTTAKGTTTCTATTGGTACCAAACATGTCCAGGTTCAACTGACAGATCTTAAGTTAACAGAAGGTAAAATAAATAAAAAACTGGAAAATCAGTTCTGCTCAAGAAGTTAAGAATTACTCTGACCTTCACTTAAAGTGAGACTGAGACAATGGATAACTGACTTTTAGGCTTAGCTTTTAGCTAAGAATGTTTTGACACTTAAGTCCATTCTTAACAGCATTTTTAAGAGTAATTCTAACCAGTTTGATAAATACAGGCCCTGAACTGCACCATAGTCATGATTACTTGTGTCTATGTGATGAGAATGTAAGAAATTATTATCCTGTCAAAATTTCATACATAAATAACATATGTTATCTGAATTACAGTGACAAAAAAACATTTATACCTTAAAAGGAAAAAAGTTGTATAGGTCCTCTGGACGGATTCTTCTTTAATGAAACGTTTAGTCTCTCTTCCAAGAGACTTCTTCAGTCTGAGAGTTTCAGGCTAAATTCAGGCTTTTGAATCCTGCCTTTGCGGTCCTGAACTTTGCGGTCGCACCAACAAGAATCCCTTTGGTTGAGATGATCACAGCCACAGAATCAGCCATTCGAAACAACAAAATCCCAGGATTTGAAGAGGAATAAAGTTTCAGCCTGCCTCAGCAACGCCAAACCACCACCTTCTAATATCAGCAGAGAAGAGAGAGACGCTC